CCCCAAAACCCCAAAACCCCAAAACCCCAGGCAGAGGAGATGGGGTTGAAAGAGATTTTTGAAAATTTAGAATTTTTTGGATTTTGGAAATTTTAGAAGTTGAAATTCTGTGCTGGGGTGGGTTTAAATGGGGTTTTGGGTTTTAGTCAAATTTTTTGGTGGATTTTGGTTGTGGTGAGGGGGAACGGATTAGTATATCAGAGTCGTTTTGGAGCGAATTGGAGGGGGTGGATCTTTCTGAAGTAGGAAGATACTCATCCTAAAATTATGTGATTTTAGTCATAGAAGTTTTAATGAAAGGGGTACACCTATCACCTTGGAACTTCACAAATATGAAAACTAATATAAAATTAAGGACATCTTAATCTAGTTTATAACAACATGTATTTTACCTTTTCATCAATTTTTGTTGTTGTGACTGAAAAGTATTTCGCCTAAAAGTTAATTTGTGCTTACCATATCAGTTCCTACAGATAAACGTTTTGTGTGAAATTGAGCTAAGCTCGTGTCATAAGTTTTGTAAAAACTATTTGGCATCTCTTGATCTGCTTCTAGATTATGATTCATATTTCCTTTGGCTCTTTTAGTGAGACTGGAGTATTTAAATTTCTGATAGTCACCTAAATTCGTTAAGTTTGGTATAACAGTCCAGTTTTGCAACAACAAAAAACAATATGTGCTCTTTCTTGCCAAAAGAATTTGGGTTGAGGGAAATTAAAAAGTATGAGACTCAGACCTTCAGAGAAGACTTCTAGAAAACTAGCTTAATGTTATATAATCTAGCCCCAAGAAGACATTCGAGGCATGCTTAAAATAATCATAAATTTTGAAGGTTGGATGAGCATCAATCTAATTTCACTTCCTTTGCTTCATTTAAGAACATTTCAAACTTACTCAACTTGGTAGCAGCTAGCTTTTGATTTGAGGAGGATTTTTCTAATGGTCTTGGCCTTTCCTTATAGGACATTTTACATTTTCTCTTTAGATCTTTTAACTTCTTAATATCTTCCAGAGTTTCATGTTTTATATTTCTATTATCCTCTTTCAGATAAGTCTTTTTGGACAGTTGATCAACAGCAGAGATACTATTTGGATAAGAGTAATTTCTCTTGTGTGCAGTTTTGGATCTTATTGGAAAATTCATAGATTCTGGTTTCTTATTTTTAAACCTAAATTTTACATATCCAAAATACCTAATGTTGACTTTGTTTGGCTCTTTATAAAATTTTGTAGAAGTCTTCTTTGAATTCTCTTTCTGTCTGTTAGTGTGTAATTTTTTGCTATTTTCTTTCTCTTTCTTGCATTCGCTTGAGATTAAAGATAAACTTTTCTGTCTATGATTAATATTAGATTTCATTTGGGGATTATTTTCATGTTTTATTTCAGCAGAGACTGACCTTTTCACTCTAACTCTCTTTTCTTTCATTATTATATCGTTTCTCTCTCATTTTCAAACCCTATTACATTTTCCCAATCTGCCAAAAGCAGTTTCTTTTTCCTTATAATTTTTGTCTAATTTGTTATATCTGTTTTTATTGATCTTCTTGATATCAGAAAAACACTGACATGATTTAGAGAAATTATTGGTAAAAGATCCTTTTGTTCTAGCCAGTTCACTGTCAGTATCTTTGCTTATATTCTTCTTATTATGCCTGATGAGTCCATATTCACGAATTTCAGCTTTTTGAATTAGTGTTTCCTGAAATAATTCTTTTCCATTTGTTTTTAATCAGCACTTTGGAGTTTTGGTGGACCTAATTTTATCGATATGTTCTAGATGCTCGGCTTTCTGATCAAATGTGACTTTATCTATCTGATTTTTCTATTTTGTATGAGATTTATGGAATATTTATGTAATTTAGAAGATAATACATCGCGATTTGGTTAAATAGTCAGTTCTCTTAAATCAAGAGGAACTATTAAATTAGGAGAATTTGAACTTTCAGGAATTATTTAACTTGTTTTATGAGGGGTTACATTAAAGAAGTTATATGGGGTGTAACATCAGATTTGGCAACACAAACTTAGTATTATACAAAAGAAATTTTGGAAATTAGGAATAGTCTCTATTTTTCTATACAGAATTTTAATGGGATTAAGACTTTAATTTATCTCAAGAGATAAATAATTTTACATTTTACTGAATTAAATATACACAGATTGGTTAGAATAATCATGTATAGCTATAATATTTGAAATCTAGTGATCTGCAAAAATAAAGAGTTTATTTAAATTTGCCTAATTTCATGCAGTATGAACCTCTCTTATCAAAATATTCATATTTACTATATAATTTATTTCCAAGTAAATATTCCAGAAATCCTTTTATTTTATTGAGCAAGAATACATGTTAAACTATTTTCATGGGAGAAATTTTAGCTTAAATATCTGTATATTAATAAAAATGTAACTAAAACCGAATTGAGACTGAATATTTATTGATCTGATAGTTTGATATCATCTTGCACCATATCTTTAAAACACCTTGCTTTAGATTACTCTTCAAATATCAGACATTAACTACTACGATTCTTAAAAGCAAATAATCTGGTAATGGCAATATTGTCAGTCTTATAAATTTTTTACCGTTTCTTCATTTTCTTCTAAACTTCTTTTTTCTTGGATTAATCGAGAGTATTTCCGACTAAGCTGGTTATTCTCTATTTTTAATTGTCTGTTCTTTTTCTCCAGCTGTTGATTTTTTTCCTTATAGTCTTCGGATATTTTATTTGTTCTACGATTTTCCTTTTTCAAGGTTCTAAGTTCGTCTTTATATTTTTTATAATTGTTTTTATGCTTGTCTGCTTCTTTAGTCATATTTTCAAGATCAGTCTCCAATCCTTCGATCTTGTTGAGGAATTTAGTATAGTCTCTAGTGTCATGAGAAGATTCATTTCCTATTTTCCCAGATTATTTTAAGCAAAGTATTTTATTTGATATTACAAAAGTCGATTGATTTGACTTATAAAGGAACCTGAATGCGGTTTATTGGTGATTTTTTTGAAACTTATGCTCTTTTAAGTTTCATTTATTTTAATTGGCAAAATCTTCCTACGAGAGTTTAGTAAATTAGTAATATTTTACAACTTCTGAGCCCGGCTGAATATATTCTTTATGCTCCAAGACTTTGAAAGCAAAACTTAACTATTTTGTCTGAATTTTTTTTAACAAAGTTGAAATGGAACTCTTTGGAAAACAAAACAAGGCAGCTCTTTGGAATGATTCAAAGCTATAATGAAGAAATATCTAAAAGACTCTCTCTATTTCTAATAGCAGTAAATGTTGAGAGAATATAAATTTGAAGAGAAACAGAATCATTAAAATATTGTATCTCACCGGCCTCGCTCTTAAACAGCAAGGATTGAAATCTTCATCTGCTAATTTTAAGCATTCGCAAGAATTTGAAATCACAAAAAGGAAATCATAGCCAACTTTCTTCTATCCTTATCGAATTCTTAGAAAATAGAAAGATGTCTACAAGAAATAAACAGAGTGACTTTGTTTTGGCCTATATCTTGTATTGATAGCAAAGCTTTGTCTCGCAATATTGAATCATAAATCTAGTAAATGGGATAAAATCAACTACAATTAAAAGAGATAATTCATTACTAAGTTTATCTGTATTAATACCAGGTTTTAAATATTGGCATACAGTTATTTATAAATTGAGCGAGATTTAGGTGTTCTTGATTAAGTGAAATTAATGATAGAATTTGTAAAATAAAAAAAATCAATGTAAGATTTTATGTTATGAACAAACTAGATTCTAACTCTCTTTCTCCAAATCTTTGGTTGGGTCTAAGAAATTATTAGAAAATGGCATAAATCCTCTTCCAATGATCCTTTCATATAAAGTCCTTAGAATTAGGGTCCATTTTCTCACTCTCTTGCTCTAATCATTGAGCTATTCTAGTATACCAAAGTAGTCTCCCCTTTCTAGTGGTATCCTGAAAATATCTCTTCAGAAATCTAACTGGATACAATGCGGATATTCAGTGGATCCTTAAAAGAACCTGTGCATATTAAATTAGGTTTTAAGACAAAAATTATCAATATACCTTAGTTTAAAAGCTACACCACTAAATTTACAACAAGTAATTCCATTACTGATTAAATTAGAAATGACATAAGTCAAACTAGAAGACATATTTTTGACACTCAAAGATCCCTCACCATTGTCTTGAAGTTGATTGGTAGCATCATTGTGAGCTTTTTCATCCTTATCACTTTCAGATATTAAATCTTCATTGCTAGCTGAAATATTTTTGTTATCTTCTTCTAGTGTCTTTATTTGCCCTTGAAGAGTTACTTTCTCAAATTTAAGCTGATCAATTTGATTTTGGAAAGTATCTAAATTGTCCTTAAGCTCTTTGATTTCAGTTTGATTATTTTTTCTTCTTTTCCTCCAAAATTTTGACCTATTTTGTTTTTGAGTATTTTAAGTCATAAGAAGTAACTAGAGGAATCAAAATTTTATTTAAGATCATTAATTTTCATAATACAAAGAGTATTCAATATTCTAAGATCTGTCAAAGATAGAATACAAAATATATTCCATTGAAATTCGATACGAGATAAGTAGTGATAAATGTCATCTCTAGTTTCCACAATAAATTCATCAAAATATTTGTGGTTATCTCGTCCCTTTTTTAGGATATATACAACTCTCTGTCGGAATTTATTACCTGAGATTTTATATTTTCAATTTCTGGTTCTAAATTCTTATCTTTGCTGACATTTTGTTCAATTTTATTTAACAAATTGCCATTTTCTTCTTTTAGGGCTTGCTCAGAATGTTCGAGATGTTGAATCCTGTCTTTCAAATCTGTTATTACTTTTTCTAGAGTTTTCTTAATATTTTCCATATTATTGTTAGCAGTCTCTAATTTTGCAGATTTATCTCTCTGTATATTTAACTCCGCGTTTTCATTATCTATTGTCTTCTTCAATTCTTTAATCTCATGCTTTAATCCTTTTATCTCCTTTTTGAGTTTTTTCATGTCTTTCTTCAATTGTTTATTCTCTTTCTCGATTTTTCCTTTCTATATTAAATATGAATTAATTTCTCAACAGTAATGTTCATACATTTTGTTTCAAATTATCGTTTTCTTTTTGAATAGTCTCAAGTTGCTCTTGTTTTTTATTTAGAACCATGCTTCTTTCTGATTCTAGATTTTCCATTTCTTGTTGTAAGTGCATATGCATTTTCTCCATAAAATCATTGGACATATTTTTTATTTTGATCGATTCTTCGGACTGAATTTGGTTATCCTTGGTGTAATTTATTCCTCTGTCTTGATATTCAAGGGAAGTGTTTAATATTATGTTCTACAGATGTTATAGTTAATTTCCTGTATGAACATTTTTGATGATTTAATGCAAATACATTAAAAAATAGTTTTTACTTGGTAATTGCTTCCTGAAAAATTCTTATTTCTTTTTTGAGAGGATTCGTAATATTCATGCTTAATTTCTTCATTCTTATCAGATTGGGAATGTGAGTAACCTCTATTAAAATAAAACAGGTAAATATTAGATTAAATAAAATGAAATAGTTTTGCAATTGGGTTGAAATCTTAATCATACTTTCAGGCTTCAATATTCATACCTTAATAAATAATTGACAAAAGTAGAAAATAGGAGATCTTAGGACACGATAAAAGCTTTAATTCAATTTCAAAGTTATTTTTATGTGTTAGTGGTTATATTTCTAATCCATTTAAAATAAAAACCTTATAGATGCTCTTTACCTTCTTTTCTTTGACTTTTCATCATCTCTGAAGTTATTTTCATTCTCAATGTCAGCTAAGTAAGACAAATGGTTCTTGATCGTTTTATCACTAGCTATATAAAGTGAGCAATCAAGAATACAATTAGAGTGGTCATCTTTTGGTATATCTAGCATTTCTTCGTCTTTCGAATTTTCTAGTCTCTCATTACTAATTTCAATAGATTTCTGAGATATTTTAGTATTGCTAACAAATTATATTCTTTAGCCTACTCAAAATATTCTTTAGTTTCTTCTCCATTAGAGTCAGTAAATTTGAATGAGGGTTCGGATGATGATTTCTCTTCACTTCCAGTGTTTGGCTTCATCCTTTAACAAAGTTAGTTACATCATATTTATCAATACATTTTATCATTAAGTTTAATATGCTCGATTAAGCTCTTTGAAGATAAAGAATATTGAGAAACAGCTAAGATTCTCTGAATTACAATTTTTGCATCACCTAGCATAGCTTTTAGAAAGTTATTCAAAGTTTTTAATTATTTTCATCTAATTCTCTGAGCGAATCATCCACAAGGTTCAAAGATAAACAATATGTTAAATTATTGTAAGTTTTCCAAAACATCTAAGGAGTATTACTAATGGTCTCATTTTCTCTATTACATAACTCCTAGCTTATGTTTCATTGGCTAAAATGAAGCGAAGTTTGCTTATGATGAAATTATTCAACATTTAGTTATGTAGAAACTCTTTAATGAACAAAGGCAGAGATATCTTATTTTGATCGAAGATATCTAAGATTGTAAATCAGATCCTTTGAGTTAAATATTATTAGCATTTTTTTTGTACATGTTGCTTCTGATTTCAAGATTTTACATTAATGATTATTAGATGTTAGGAATTAGGCTTTACTAAAATAGTGTGATATTTTAGAGTAATTAAGTATGCATTAATTAAAATGATACCTAAAATGATATTTAATGTACTGTGTAAGTGTATATTCTCACAAAAATTTATTGATTTCTTTTGTATTTTAGTGTTAGTTAATTACAATAATATAATTTTCGATTAAGCCACATTTAAGACTTGATAAGAGCATTCACAATGGAATATTGTAAAGATAATATTAAATAGTTTTCTAGCATATAAACAAAGCTATATCAGCAGAAATTCCATTGATTAATTGAACTAGAGATTACCAGAGTCACTTGAATACAAACTCTTCTAAGTTTTGGTAAATAAATTCTCTCACAAACAAAGCGATTCAATTTTCAAGGATATATTCTCCCTGCCTATTACTTACTCAGATTGAACTGGATTCTTGAATTTCTTCTTAGACTTTTTAGAGCTATTCTTATTTTTATTACTACTATTTTGATCTGAAGAATTCTGCATCCTTTTACTGGAAGAACTATCCGAAGGAGGTTTTTTGGACTCCTCTTTTGAGTTCGACTAAAGGACAAGTTAAAGTCAAGCTCCTGGTATAGAGGCCTTATCATTTAATTATTTAAAATATACAAAGTGGAGTAAAGCTCTCCTAAATTCTGGCCCAATACAAGAAAGGATTGAACCTGTAGAAGAGCATTTCTACATGATTTTTTACAAGTGACTATATTTATTTAGGCCCAACTAGCTTTAATGAGAAAATATAAATAAAGAAAGATAATTTAGAAAATATAAATTATGTGTAAAATCATATTTTTGAGGAATATAAAGAAATAAAGACTTACAGACTTCTCATATTTAACATTACTGAAGTCGATTGGGGCGTTATAACCTCCATTATTGGTAAGACCATCATTGCTTGGATGCTCTGAATCCTTTGAGTATTGTTGAGGGGGGTCTGCATGAGAATTTGGGAATCGATTATTTTGATGATATGTCTGTTGAAAAGTGTGTTTACTATTGTTTGTTCCACTGTAAAAATAGTCAAATCATTTCCACTTTTAATATTTTATAACAATCTCTAACTAAATGAATAATTTAACTCTATTTTCAAAAGCTGAAAGAATACAGCTAAAGTTTAATAATGCTATCAATAACGTTACTAGCAGTATTTATAGCAAAGCGGAGCTAGTTCTCTTTGAAAGTATTAATAGTATATTCTTTTTCAGAATTATTATTTTCTTTTGCTAGGAAACTTAATTGTTCGAAATTTTCTAAACCTCTCATGCTGAATTAAAAATCAAAGAGTGTAAGGATCCTTTAATTTGGAAATTATAGAGTCTTATTTTATGATAAAGCTAATTGGGATATAATAAATCTCAAAGTTAAATTCTGCAAGAGATTTTTGTGAAAGGGATTTTCCCAACTCTTTAACATTTTGGGCGATCTTAAGAAAAAGTTAACATTCTGTCCGAATTTTATCACAAAATTGCTAAATGGACTAGTGTATTCATTCTTGAATAAATTTTAAATAAAAAGAACAATTACCTGTGATTTGATAGATCTGAGTATGGATTATTTTCTGCTTGATGGGAATTCTCGTTTCCGAATCTTTTAACTATAAACAAGTTATTTAGAGATTATGAAAGGATCTTTGGAGGAAAGTTATTATACTACTCAAGACCATAAAGCTTTATGGAGTTTGGCTGTAAGCAGTTAATGCTTCAAGCTAAAAGCAACCTGATTTGGTATTTAGCGTACCCATTATGCTCAAAAGCTTGTTTATCCTCTTGAGCAAAACCCCAAAAATTTAGAATAGAAATGATCAGAAATTCAGGAATCTAAATTTTTTTTAAATAATATTTTATTTAAGATACGGAAATTTTCGCTAAATCTTTGCGAAAATTTTCAAAAGATATGATGAAAAAGTGGATTGCTCTATTTTCAATAATAATGCTATAATCTTCTTCAAAATCATGAGAAAGCAATTTTATGACTTAAAGAGGTTCTTAGGGACGAGATAGAAACTACAACTGGCAGAAGCTAACTCAAAAAACATCTAAGCCTCTAATAAGGCTCAATTAATACGAGGATATGAAAAAAGTCAATCATTAAAACTTTACTTTAAGATCTACACGAGTTGCCCATAAATATCAATCACAAAATAGTCTCTCTTTATATAAAATTTACCATAAAACCCACCATACTCCAATCACCCCAACTCTTCCCAAAAAATCCCCCCAAAACCCCACCTCCTCTATCTCTAACCCTCTCTACCCTCCCTCCCTTGCCTCCTCCCACTCCTCACCTTCTTCCCTTGCTTCCTGTCTTCTCTCTCCTTCCTGGTGGCTATCAGTCCCTTGAGAACCAACTGAGGGATTCGCTTCCATAATTATTATAGAATTTTATTTTAAGTTTAAGTAGTACTGGGGTTTTGGGGTTTTGGGGTTTTGGGG